CTATCAAACTGATTGGATTAGTTGATTTGGAAGAAGAGAAGAGGAGAGTGAAGGTAGATGTTTCATTTATTTTAGGTTAAAATCTTATTTTGGTTCTTGAACTATTGTATGAACTTTCGATTTGGTCTTTAAACTAAAAAAATCCTTGATTTAGTCCCTAATGTTTACCATTTTTACCTCGATTTGGTCCTTCCGTTAAATATCAACCTACGTGGCCTGTCACTTCTCGGTTAAAAGATGACATGTCAAATATTAATACACGTGGAAGGTAATATGACAAAAAAAGTGATGATGTGGAAAAAAATAATAATATAAAAAATATTATGAAAAATAAAACTTAAATTTTCTTTCTTTCTTTTTCTTTCCCTTTTCCTTTCCCTTTCCCTTTCTCTTTCTCTTTCTCTTTCCCCTTCCCTTTTCCCTTCTCTTTCCCCTTGGAACCCAGCAGGCCTGGGTTCCTTCAAACCCACCCAGGCGATGGGTTCGCATCTGGGTTCCTTGCGAACCCAGCACCTAGGTTCCACCAAACCTAGGTGCAAAAAATTTTTTTAAAAAAAAAGTTGCTTTTGTTTTTGGATTTTGTTGTTTGATTGTGATGAAAAATTGATTGATGAAGATGAAGAAGGCAAGGCAAGGCAGTCGCTGGGTTGTTGCAGGTGCTGGGTTCGACGCTGGGTTCAATTTTGAACCAAGCAATCGCTAGGTTTTTGCAGGTGTTGGGTTCGATTTGGAACCCAACAGGCAGTGGGTTTCATTTTAAACCCATCAGCTGCTGGGTCGGTGGAACCCAGCAGTTGTTAGGTTTGAGTAGCTGTTGGGTTCTTGCAAGTGAGGCTTTAGGTTCCGTTTTGAATCCAACAGCCGTTGGGTCAAGGATCCATTGAGTTTAATCTGTTGATTTGTTGTGTTATCCTTGAATTTAATATTAGGAGTTAGGGTTTGCAGAAGGTGAAAGGAAAAGGAGAGGAAGAAGAAAGGGAAAAAGGAAAAACAAATTTTTTAAGGTTTTTTTTTTTTTTGCCTTCTCATTTTTTTGTCACGCTGTACATCCTAGGTGTCAAAATGCTTTTACATGTCATCCTTTTCTCATCAAGTAACGGGACACGTAGGTTGATATTTAACGAAAAGACCAAATCATGGTAAAAATGGTAAACAGTATGAACTAAATCAAGGATTTTTTTAGTTTAGGGACCAAATTAGGAGTCCGTATGATAGTTTAAGGACCAAAATGGGGTTTGAACCTTTATTTTATTTGGTTTTTTTCATTAATAGAGAGGGAGGAAGATGAAGGGGTTATCGAACCCTTTCCGCTCCTCTGTTTTTTATCTTTCCAAATTGAAGGAATTGTTGAGGATTTGAATTATATAATTAATATTTTTTAATTTTTTAGAAAAGAAATATATAAAAATTTTTTATTTCAATTATTGTTTTAATCAATAAATTTTAAATATCTT